GGGCCCGCGGGGCTGGGAGCCGGGGGGGTGCGCCGGGCCGCCGGGGGTGGTCGGCCGGGGCCGGCACCCCAGGGCCCGAGCCGACCCAGGCTGGCGCCGCCGGGGGGCCAGCCTGGGCCACGCCTCCTCCCCCCGCCACACTCCCCCTTACCTGCTTCAGGCTTCCCGCGAATTAAATGTTCGCGGGAAGCAGGGGAGGGGGCGGAGACTTTGGGAGGGGCGGAGTTGGGGCGGGGCCAGGCTGGGGGCGGGGCCGGGGCCCCCCGGAGTGTTCTCCATTAGGAGGCACAAAATATGGTAACCCTAGGTCAGCTTAACAACGCTGCTCAGGGGTGTGAATTCATTACACCCCCGAGAAACATAGTTAAACTGGCCTAATTTTCTAGTGTAGACGATATCTACATCTAAAGCGCTACAGTTGCAGCACTGCCGTCTAGGCCCTCACTATGGGGTTCTCCTGTCCCCGTAGTTAATTTACCTCGTCTCTGAGAGGCGGTTGCTCAGTCGATGGAAGAATCGTTCCTTCTGTTGACCTTGCACTGCCTCCACCAGGGGTTAGGTCATCATAGCTACGTCTCTCGGGGTGTGATATTTTCACACCTCTGGGAGACACAGGTATGCTGATGGAAGTTTTCAGTGTAGACCAGCCCTTGGATGTATTTTTAACATCCAGGAGCCAGGAGCACAATCCCACTCACAAACATCAGGGTTTATTCAGAATCCTTCCATGTCACACTTTTAAAACATATCCCTTTAGTAAATCATAACCTGTAGCTGTTTTCAGCTATGTGTACCTAAAGCTAACCACTTACAAACAGTTAAAAAAAAAAAGTAAAATGCCAGAATATGATGTCATTTCAGCCTAAATGAGAGGGGAAATTAATGTTAAATTTATGTTCTGTTAACATGATTCTCACATTGTTAAACATCCAGTCGCAAAATCGTCCTTATTGGAGTCACACCTCTCTGGAGCTTTATTTCCAGTTTTAATTAGGGTGTCAGGTGTTTAGTTTAAACTGGAATTTACCTCACAAAACCTTATTCTCCCTCCAGCCCAGCACAACCCTTCTACCCCTAAAATGCTTTCATTTTCCCCCACCAGTTGCCCTTTCATATGTCATCTGAACACTGTACTCCCTGTTAATTTCCCACTGAGCAGTGGCATAAAAGAAAAAATTGCTAAGCCAGTACCTGGAAAATGGAAGTTTGTACCATATTTCTTATACTATATTTCTTTTTAAAGATACTCTATGATTTATCAGCAATAAAGTAAACATATAATTCAAAGGGACCTCTTTCCAAATATAAAATAAAAGGACTCTTTTCAAGGATGCCGATTTAATATTTGTACACCTCCCATCATTGTAGAATCTATGTCTGAGCTCCAGGTGACACTGATTTTCCTTATATTGGCAGAGTCCAGTTACTTTTTAATATTTTTTCTTTCTAAAGTCTTCCGTACATAATTCAGAATTAAGGAAGAGAGATACAAAGGGACCTCTGTATTGAGAAGGGTGCCCAGCCTCTGAAGTTGGGAAGGAGTGAGTGAGCGATATTAGAGAGACGAGCTGGGTGAGGTAATATCTCCTATTGGACCAACTTCTGTTGGTGAAAGAGAGATGCTTTTTAAGCTACACAGAGCTCTTCTTCAGATCTGGATGGAGGGATACTCAGGTGAAGGAGATAGAGCTGAGAGAGATTGCTAGGTCACCAGTCAACTGACTGTGTTGTAACCAGTTCTCAAGAGATTTGGCCGAGCCTACCCTGCTAAACTGGGACTCCTTTTACTTTGGGACCCTCACATCATAGAACCTTTAATTTTCACCCTCTTACTTTGGGACCCTCACACCATAGAACCTTTAATTTTCACCCTTCACTGTAATATGAATTGCTGCTTGCACATTGCAATGCCTTAAAACAATCAGGAACTTTCATTCTGCTTCTCTATAAATGATGTTTCTCCTTATCAGAGTTCAAATGAAGGAGATGCCACTGTATTTGTGTGATGTATAGGTGAACTGATTCTGGTAAAATCTTCTTACAGTAGTTCAGTTAATTATCTCCACTCTGTCTCCCCTAATCACCAAAAGGGCTTCCTATCTTTTATGAAATCCATCTCAGTCTCTCAGCAACCCTATCAGTCTGTTAGGTTGTTGGCTGCCTTCAGATCTCATAAGTTATGAGATTTCATTGTGCCCAGAGTTGGAGCAGTGTATTCTAGGTCACCCCTAACCCAACAATGCAAGTGAAATTTCATTAGACCAGCTGGCCAGAGTCCTGCAAAATTTCAGACTTGAGACCCATCTTGTTGGAACACTACCAAAGGCAGGGGACCTTTCACGGGTCAAGGAACAGCTTTTCTGAAAGTTAAGTGAGAAAGCATTTCCAGGTGTATTCAAATTAAGACTCAGATATAGAGCACTGCCCTATAGCAACTGCAGTGAGCTACAGTATTGAATTTCCTTCTGAAAAAAGCAACCTGCTTCTCTGCCAGAAAATTTTGGTCCACTTTGACAGGTATTTATTTGGGGTGGTATGACCCAACCGACTGCCAACCAGCTGTACTGTTATCCATCTGGATGTTTGTATAAAAATGAGGACATCTTATGTCCACTTAGAAACCCCTCCAGGATTGTATTTCTTATACTTTTTGCAGGGACTACATGATATAGGCATTACTTCCTTTTCAAGTCAACATTCCAAAAGCTAGTGTCTATCAAATCCATCAATTCCATAGTACTGTGAACAATGGGCAATTTTATATAGCATATGTTCAGCTATAGATAAGTTAAGAACA